TGCAGTCAAGGCTGTTGTACACAGTGAATGTTCCAACTTTAGACACGTTTAAGTAATGGTACTCTTCTTTTATGAAAACATCTTGACGAAGGCTGTGGTGATACATACTGGTAAATTCTGCAAGTTGCATGGTAAGAAATTAAAACTGAAGGGAAAAAAAATGTAATGAAGGCTTCTCTATTTGTCCTTTTTTTTTCATTTGGTTGTTTAATTTTGTTTTGTTTTGTTCACTATCCTGGGAACAGTTCTATAATTTCCCTGTGCTTATCTATTTGCACTATGTTTGTTTCCTCCAGTTGTTTTTGTTTTATATTGTTTGGTTTTTGTTCTGTTCATTTTGGTTTTTGTTGTTGTTATTGTTGCTAATTTATTTTTATTACTTTTAAATTTCTCGCGATAGCACTATAATTTCTCTGTGTTAATCTATTTTCATTTTTTATAAATTCGTATTTTTGTTTGCTTTGTTTTGTTTGTTTGTTTGTTTGTTTTTCACTTCCCAGGCGATAGTTCTATAATTTCTCGGGGTTGTGGTGGATTCATCTCGCCATTTAAAGAAAAAAAAAATGACGTCGATAACGTTACATTGATTAATTAAATTTTTGGCTGAAATTTTTGCCCCAGCAGGTTTCCTTTCAGAATAGGTCGGAGTAAGAAACGAACATCACTGAATTGTTTAATAATGCAAAAACACCTGTTAACAGATCAAAGATTCACGATCTTAAGCAAAACAAATAACAGCTTTAAAGAGAAGTCAAAATGTAAGCTTCGCAGAGAGCGTTTTCATGTATTGGGGCAGGAGCAGCGATATTTTAGGTGATGGGGAGTAGGCATCTTATTATTTAAATCTAATAAAGTTAAAATCAAAGTCTAAAACTCACAATCACTCAAACCGTTTCATAACGGCCTCTTGGCAAAGAGGGTTGAACCATACATAAAAATGTGTCCTGCTGAAGAGTACATTTCATTTTTTATAAATACTTTTGCGGAAGCCCGACAATCATGAATTTTTACAGTCTTAAACCAAATTTTTTTCTTCTCTTTGAGGATGGATGAAATTTGAAAACAATGGCTTACAACAAAATTGACAGTACGTTTGCATCTAGGACTTTTTTTTTCTTTCAGTAGAAAACCGTGTTTGAGTGCAGTTTGGTTCCTTATTAAAATTTATTTACTCTTTCACTTCTCCGTCTTTGTTTTTTTTTGTTTGGTCACTTTAAACATACTTATAGGGCAGAACACAGTTTTCGGTTAAGGGAAAATTACAGAGAAACGCTGATGAGAGAATTTTCAGAAACATTGGCTGTGCACAAAAAGGAAACTGAATTTGCTGTTGTTGCTATATGCAGTTTCAGTTCGTTTTACTTTTCGCTTTTTTTGAGAAGTAAGGGATCTCTATAAAAGCTGATGATAACCTTCATAAACAGCCGTCGATATTACCGGCGTTGCAAACATTATAAACTTTAAAATTAGTTTACAGGTCTACGTTTCGAAACGGAAAACTAGGAATCAAACGTGTCTGATATATTTTTAAAAGCTTCTTATTGAATTGACAAAACCTTAACATCGCGCCAGTAAAAGGCGAACGCTGATCGAGGTAGGCCTAAAAAGATTACTATTAATACTGCATAGAATAAAAATATCGAACTAAGTGAATCACCTTGATCAGCTACTGAAACGCAATTCAGCCAAATGCCCCAAAAGGAACATATCAACAATAAATCCAGCACTGATACATGAGGAACCTTCATGGCATCTTACTTGTCTGAGAGAGACCCACTTTACTGGCACGGAAAATGGACTATTCAAACCGGGCTTTGTTGTTAAATAATGTGAATTCGATTCATGACGAATATTGAATTCATGAGTGCTTAAATACATGCACACACGTAGGTGGTGGGGGGCCACTTTGTACAAGAACGTTCGGCCCAGGAATCTATAGAGGGAGGTTCGTTAACCAAGAAAATTACTTGGAGAATGTTCCTGGAGTTTTCTTTTTCTTTTATTTTCTTTGTGCTCAAGTGAATAGATGATTTGTCGAGCAATTTTCGCGACAAAGGTGCATGGATATAACTTTTAATTACTCGCACAAACCAGGAGCCGATAATCGGCTCCTGCACAAGCTGAATGTCAAAAATAACAAGTTCAATAAGTGAAAGGCCACATTTTATTAAGTTTCCGTTTACAGATATACTAGATGACGTAGACTTATTCTCTGGTCTATAAAGCCTTTGTCCTTTAATTTTCTCTCATATATAAAGACACGATATGCACCTGTGGACGATCCAATTGCCCAGGCATTGTCATAGTCACTATATTGGTAGTTATTAGTCAAAAAGGTATAATTCGGGATGTAACAATGAGGCAGTAATAAAGAGTATTTCTTGTGTGAAACAGGGTGGATAAAGGTTAGAAGCCCGCTTTGGTTTTCGCCACGGCGCAAAAGATATCCGCTGACAAATGCTGCTATACGCGTATGGTGCCAATAATAGGGAACAAAATCTTTTTAAACAGAAACCTTAACATGACACCTTTTGTATTTAATACCCGCGGATTCATTTCTTTGAAAGTTTACTTTAACCCGGGTTATTAATTTTTTGTAACCGTCTAACAAACTTTTATCGTTTCATGGGCTTCTGAGCCATTGCATCTGTGTTTGCCTTGATGAGGGGAACTAGACCATTTCTTCATACGCGCTGTTTGACTTCTGCCTTTTGTACTGAAGGATATCGATACTGACCCTATTTCAGAGCGCTCTTTTCGAAAATTGTTAAGGAAAGAAAAAAACATTTAAAACATCTGAAAACATTTTATTTACCTTTCACTTATACAGAAGTTTTAAGTTTAATCACACTGCATCAATACAATCCACTTCTAAAGGCGATCATTACCCCTCACATTTTTAAAATCACCCTATCTGCTTGATCTGCTTTTCATAGAACCGGCGATACTTCGTCGCTTTCAAAGAAAGAAGTTCTTTTAGTCAATGCTTGATAGAATGATTTCAGAAAGCGCTTTTCGATTAAAATTGGAAAGGAAAGAAAATATGTATATATTTAAAACACTACCTTTCAAGTTTATTGTTTAATTACACTGCAACAATGAAAGCTACTTCTAAAAGTACAAGCCTACCATCGTAGCTGAGGAAGCGTTTATTTATTTGTGAGTGGGCGTCTTAATTACAGGGTGTCCCAAACGTTCGTTCCTCTACTTTATAAGTCTGTAATGCAGTACGAGTAGACTGCTTGATAGGCATATGATTTAACCAAAAGTTGCATCTTTCAGTGTTTTTTTAACATTTCATACTTGCTGTGCCATCTTTTGGCTTGAATATTCGATTTGTATACTTTCGCACGAAAGATGTGCCTGCGGGAGTAAATTTTCCCGCCATATGTTTTTGTATTTTGTAGCCCGAATTGCTCGATTTCGTATACCTTGTTTTTGTGATTAAAACGAAAACATTTCCTCTCAACGAAAAAACACTCAGCTATACGAGAGCATAAGCATGGATACTTCGATCTACTGGCTTATCAGTTAAATAAATTACTAAAAAAATGGAAAAATCTGAATGTTTGGTGGTAAGATAGTCATCGAGAAATGAAGGTTTTAAAGACAAGAAACGAGAGGAACGTCCGAAAGTCAGGAATAAAACCGCTCAAATACTTTTTTTTTTTTGACAGAAGGTTAGGTACAACAGAGGAAACCCGACGAGGAAGCTGTCACAAGAGATAGCAAGCTAATTTTGGAGCAGGTTCATGAAAAGCAACATTTGGAGACCCCTGAGTAGCCTGTGTACAGACGCGAGGGGCGGCTTTACACAGGCTTCCCCTGAGAGGGCAATAAAATACCTCTACTCAGTCCGCCAAGCAGCGTTCAGCGCGTCTCAAATTTGTAAGGAAGTACAAAAGCCTTACTGTGGAAAGGGGCCGGGATGATTATATTTTCTTGGATCAATTAATTCCCAAAATATTTTTTTTAGCTGCCTAATCTAAAAAATTATATTGTGTGGGGGTCGAAGTGGCTCCAGCTTACCAGGTGATAAAAAAATTAAAATGAATCATCTGGGGCTCTACACGCTACAGGACTTACTCCAATCAATGCCACAACTGCTACAGGAATGAGAGTGTGATTTAAAAACATGGGGCCATGCCAGTTACTGAACTTCTGAATACATGTACTCGATAGAGCAAGAAACATCCTTTAGAAATTTCATGTCAAAATAAAGTTTTGATCAAAAGTTTTAGCTGATGAAATTAGAGGAACGAATGTTTGGGACACCCAGTAGTATAGATCATTCAACGTGCAAATGGCGAATGCCGAGACATATTTTGTTAACGCCATTATTGTACAGTCATGCGATCATGTTTCATGCTTTTAGTAAATAGTAATAATAGTAATAATAATAATGATGATGATGATAATAATAATAGTATTTTTTAGCTAGAATACGTTTACCCTAGAAAATAGTTTTTTAAATCGGAATGAATTGTTTCTTTTTTTTTCATTGAAATGAAATGTTTTTAGCTCGAGTGTTTTTTTAAAATTGAAATGTTTTTTTTTTTATTCAAAACTAAGTGCTTTTCTTAATCGAAAGGAAATGTAAATAGTGGTTTGACTGAATAGATCTTTTCTTAAAGCGAGATTAATTTTATAGAGGATTTTATCAGCTTTGTTATCGAATAATAATAATAATAATAATAATAATAATGATAATAATAATAACCATAATTAACAGTAAACAGGCAACTGTTCTAATTATTATTTCTAATAATACAGCTACTAAAAGCTAAACAGTGTAATGAGTGGATACATTTTCTTTCAATGAAGCAAATGATTTCGGCTCTTTGTTTCATAGTCCCTCCAGGGACTATTGTTTTTTAGCGATTAATTTCAGTCTAGAAATATAGGAATCGCAAAACGGTGAACAGAATCTAGTATCTTTTGGTTAAAAATTCTGGATTAATTGTTTGCTGCAATTAAAATCGGCCCAAATCAGTTGCCTTTCACTGCACCAAAATATAGCCCATTGCTTTAATATGTTTATAGCCATTATCGAGTGGAGTAATTTTAGCCTCGTTTCCACATGTGTTGGAGTCGTCGTGAACTCCTCCAGTGCCAAACCCGATTCTGGAGTCACACTGACCGCAATCATTTTCATTGTTGCCGAGGATTCCAATTCTTGCTTTCGCCTGGTCTCTACCCTGACTGTACTGCTTGTCACTCTTGGCATTAAATCCTTCCCTGTTACAGTTGAACTGCATGGAGGCCTCAGAACCAATCAGCGACTTCCAGGTGTCACGACCCAGTGAGGTGTTGCGGTATTTCCCATCAGCGATCAATGAATGCAGAGAACTCGCGGTCCTTTTGATTACAATAAACCTGGACTGGTTGTTAATCCTCATACCGAGGCAGATCTTGGAGAAGGATGTGTTCCAGTAGGAGGGAAGCTTGGTCTCCTGTAAATCGAAACCAGTCTTCCCTCCGTCAGGGGTAATGGTTTCTTTGTTTGTCCAGTAACGTGAGTCGTAGTGAAAAGTTCGCTGTGAAAGAATTGATAATATAAAACATAATTTCTCGTTGACAGAAATAGTATGATTCAAAGAAAGCATAGTCTATTATTATTTCGTCTGCACATTTGGTAAGAATAGTGCTAAAAATATTGTGAAACTGTTAATGCAGTAGTGTCCTTTATTTGTCTTTCCCATCAGTTAGCCCTTCCTCAGGTCAAACGTTTAGTAAGCTAGCATCATAAAACTCTTTTGGTTCTAAATGTGTCCCACTTTGTGTTACGTACGTTATTTACAAGAATGGGGAAAGGAATATTCACTTGGATTTGAATCAGCACACCCTTCCAAACCTCCTCCAAGTGAAGTCAGATCCTAGACCAAGTGCGCTACGCTGCCACAGTGCTTTTCTCTGCCATAAAAGCTGTTTGAAGTGGATGGAGCAGTATTTATCATTCTTTAATAGATTCATTTGAGGAAAAATAGCTTAAAAGCATTTTTTAAAGCCATTTTGCATTATTTCGGTCTTAATTCTCTCCGCTCAAGTTCAACGGAGTTGAAACCATTCTTTGATTGATCAATCGGCCAACCAATTCATTGTTGGTTTGCCTCTGTGTGTGACTTGAATTCAAAAGTACAGATTTAAGGGAAAAGCAAGGTTTTATATTTGACGGTAAAAAGCCGAACTGCAACACACTTCCCACAAATAAACAAACTGTATCCTGCAACCTACTAAGCCAACGTGCGAAATGAGACGCACTGGCAAATGTTCTTTTATCCAGTTATTTGAAGGTAAAAATCCAAATTGCTTCATTTTTCTCTGTAAAATACTCTAGCTCGAAAGTAATTGACAAAAGCATTTTTCGAAATCCAAAACGGCCGCAAAAACAGTCAAAACAACATCGATCAAGCTTCTTGCTTGATGATGTCATTACATTGCCTGCACTAAAGAGAAATGGTTACATAGAAATATATATGGGCCACTGTTGAGATTGCAGCACGCTATGATCTACGCACGATCCGCGCGCTGCGCACCGAGCGAAAACAAAATTCAAACTCGCTAGGCGGGCATTACGGCCTTCGCTTCGCGAAAAGAAACGAAACGATTTTAATTTGCCTGACATTTTGAAAGTATACTGAAAATTTTATAATTGCCTCATAAATCGGAAACTGGTGTTGAATACGCCAATTTTACCAACATTGCATGGGTGCGAAGAAGTTCCTTCTGCAACTGTTTCGCAAGCTGTAACGCGCCAAAACTTTCATCTTAAAGCTGAAATGTTCAGCTTTTATTCGAAATACTTCGTTTACCGAGAACTGAAATGGGCGCCCCATTTTTATTTTATTATTTTTTTTGATACTGGTACCGGCCGGATACTGGACAACATACTGTACTGTTCTTTTTTTCCCCGAGCAGTTAATCTCTCCTTAAAATATCTGCGCAGAGAATTAAAAAAGAGACAAACTTTTAGTTACTTGTAGATTATTTTATTTTTCGTATTTTTTCGCCCTGCAAAATTAGAGGTAAATCACACTCAAATGTTTACCTTGTTGCCGTCCATCTTCATGACTGGTGTCCATCCTCCATCTCCACATCCAAAATCTCCCATGTGGCAGAGAACGGTAGTTAGATTTGAGTCAAGGAGAAGAGTGACCAGCCGAGTCTCTTTTAACCTGTTCACAAGAGAATCACATTTTAAATTTTCCCAGCTCCCCTCAGGTAGAATTCTCTGTAGCGTAAATGAAAATGATTGAGCTTCAACGTACGCAGTCTTAGAGGGCTTTCAAAAAATCAGAACTCGCCGGCGGACAGACCGAGGAGGTAATTTTAAAATGAAATTTTAGTATTTTCTCGAAGCCTGCCCCTTCCGTGTATCATTAAGGAATTAACTGATCTGGCTGAATAGTCTTGATTAATGGTGGAATTCTCCTTATGATTGGGCCAGTCCGGGCTGGCCAGTTCTAACAAATGGAAAGTGTCTTTTGTCTTAAGACCAGACTTCTCCTAATCACGTGATTACAATCACGTGTCAACAAAACAAATTACTCTCCTCTCCTTCCTGACAGGAGCTTTAATCATAAAATAAAGAACTCAACGATCTGTTATCCCATGAGACTTCAGTGCAGAAATTGTTTGCATGAAATGTGGGAAGATGTAAATCCGACGCGCAAGGACGAGAAAGAGTGCTCGAGTGAGACCAAGTAAGAAAGGAAGGGTTCCCAGTTCCCTCCCCTCACGCCTTCCTATTTCAGCCTTTACCCTCCTTTTTCACTGGCCACCCCGGAAGCTACAGACGACAGGCTTCAGCCTAGATACGAAGTACTAAAAATTTTAAATATCTGTTTTCTTTTATCTTGTCAAGGGAGAAGAGAGTGGCAGAGAGAGGCCCCGCTTACGTGAAAATAAGGAGGATCACTTACGTCCAGATATGTAAGCAATGGCGAAAATAGTGAATCTGGCAACAGATCGCTAGAGGGTTGGCGAAAATGGAAACGGGTCACCCTCCCTGCTCCCAGCGAGCGTTTATTTCAGAAAAAAATTGACTTCTTTGCCCGAGCCAGCAATGCTTGCGCACGCTCTGATTGTCTCTCCCTGACCGATTTGAACCGCTGGGCGAGAAAAAGGGTTTATTTACAAAAAAACTGGTCCGGCTAGGAGGTTGACCTCACAATAGAAAAAAGGTGACCCGGCTAGGCGGCCTATTAGCCGATCTAACTTTTTGTTTGTCATGTAAACTGTTCGCCAGCTTTTGTACGATAGGTGAGTGACCCTTAATTCTAACCGGGAGGATTTTACTCCATATAAAAGAGGCTTTACAGTGAGGACGCACTTAACAGCCACTTTAGGGAAATAATAAAAAAAAATTGCGCGTACGATGAGCCCGAAAACCACACTAGCGAACTTAAAGAAAAAAGGAAACGAAAAATTGAAAGATAGAGGAGAAAGGAAGGAGAAAAAGTCAAAGAGAGAAAACTAGCAATGGTTGCACTCTTAGTTTTTATGTTCGTGTGACTTTGGTCGATAGAAGACGTCGCGCGTCTGTTTTGGTGGTTAATTATTATAAGTTTTCAAAAATAATTTAGCTAGATATACATTCAGTTGTAATTGTGTCACTTACTTCTGTGGCAGTCGATCATACTCGTCTTGGCACGACTTTGCAGCGGCCGGAAAAAAAAAAAAGGAAAATGATCTATAAAAAAAGGGGAAACGAAAACTAAAATTTGAGGTCCAAAGGTAACCCAAAAGGCTTTCACGACTCTTCGCCTTTTTAAGCACACCTGCCAGGTAACTGAGACTCGGATAAATTTTTACACTGCTAGCGCTTTCGGGTGAATACGCCAACCTGCTCTGAGAAATGAATGAAAATAATCGGGGGTATAAAAGAACATTAGAGGGTTTAAGCATCATGTTTACGGCAAACGACAAACGCCAGATTCCGTACTCAGAATTTCTCAACATGAGCAGATAAAACAGCTCAAAACAATTCTTATGGATAAAAAATTGCGTGAAACTACTAATTTACGTGTTGAAATAATGAACAATAATTGACAAGTAAAGGTGAAACTCGGTCACTTGGTACAAATTCGCGTTTGCCGCTAGAGGTGAACGTGAGATGCTTAACCTCTCTATTATAGGGGATCAATGTACAGGGAAAATCCTTCCCTTGCGGTACGTGAAGTCAGAAAAAAACATGTACAATGGATCCTCTGCATAACGAAGGGCCAAGAGACATGCAAAATCTATATTCGCTATAACGAGGTTTCGCTATATACAGGATCTTTTCGAATCCATATATTTTACTATTATACTGCAGGGGCAAGATGATATCGTTCGATTTAAAAAGAACTTCGTTGCATAATAGTTCGTTATAATGATCGAGGTTCCACTGCATTATTTTCAGCTTGAAATATTCACGACTTCACTCCCTTTAACGACTTTTTTGAGTGATCAAGAAATTGATGCTTTATGATTAAACCAACTCACGCGCTATTAAAGTTCTCAGAGTGTCACGACCAATTCGATAAGTAGCATTACTAGTAGAGAAAGTGAAGTGTCAGTTTTGATTCAAAAGGTCTTCACACCTCTTCTGAATATTTATTAATAAATGGTAAGTTTCTCAAACGGATTGACCATTTCCACATATAATTTTCAGAGCACAGTCATTACCTCTTTCGTAAAATTTTCCGCTAAAACCTCCTTTGCAAGGACATTCAATCATGGTACTTTTGGCGTGATTTTTGAAGTCTGCTGTACAAATACCTCCGTTTTGACACGGTGAAGACAAACATGGACTCTGAAATAGAAAAAAGAGCGTTATGTTAGTAGTGCTATCTTTTATTCTTCAAAAGTATCATTTCTTCCTTTATTTTTCTTCTTTATTTTTCTTTTTCAGTTAAAACCGTTTGCGAAACAGATATCATCATCATATTTATTCTCAGATTTCAGCGTTCTTATTAGAGTTCTTTTTGTTTCTTCATTTCTTTATTTCTTTTGTTGTTTTTTTCTTTCCCTTCTTTCGTAAATCTCTTCATTTACAGTGATGGCTAGATAGCATGAATCTCAGACGAAAATGACTATAATGTAACCACCATTACGGTGAACTGAAACCCAATTTTCCCTGGTAAAATTCAAAATTTTTAATAAATAATGTTGAACTCAACCCATATTTTTCCTAGTCCTCCTTGATTTTTTCCAATTTCAAAACATTCTAACCGGAAGTACTCTTTCAAAATGTCTGAACAGAAGGTACGTTTTTATTATCACTGTTTTCTAATTTGTCACCTATACCCTAAATGAATGTTTTGGCTCATTGAAAATAGAAAATAGGTCTCACCATAATGGTTAAGTGATGCGAGCTCTTATTTCCTTCATACATCTTGGGATTGCTGTATTTTTCAGACGATAACAACTCACACCAAAACTTTCCATCTGCTCCTTTGGAAGCAGCCAAGTTGACTGACAAACAGAAAGGATCGCCGAGGCATTTTAAGGCGCAGCCAAGGCTGTTGTGTACTGTGAATGTTCCAACTTTAGTCGCGTTTAAATAATGGTATTCGTATTTTATGAAGATATCCTGAAGGAATTCTGGGTGATAAAAGTTGTTGAATTCTGTAGCAAGAAAAGAAAAACTTAATATTTAAAAATGGTAGTAAGAAAAATATAAGGAAATTACGCTTTACGAAGCATTTTAAACCGTCGGTAAAGGTAACACCTCTGAAAAACAACAACAACAACAAACAACAGCAATTAACAAGCAAACAACCCTAACATGAAAATATGCTTTCTCATCATTCCGCCATGCTTTATTCAAATAAATGTTCGTCAAGAAAACTGAGGGCAGAATTTGCATGACGCATTGAAACAAATGTTTTTATAAAATGTTAGGAAGCGGTATCAGTGGTATGTCTTCCTTTCCTGAAGGCTATAAAGAGATATTGTCGACGTAATCAACAAGTGTTTCATGGAAAACTGAAACAAAGTTAATTCAGAACGGGAAGAGTTATGTCTGCGTATTTCTTAGATTGGTTTAATTTAGTTTTATTTTTTTAAACTTATTTTAATCAAGGAAAAAACTAACCTTCCAGTTGAGCATGGTGCGGATAAGGCATCAATAAAAACAGAAAGAGAAGAAACAAGCAAATGATGAGAATGCGCATGTTAAATGAAGAGAATGTTGGTGAAATTTGTGGAAATGGGTGACTTTGGTGTCTTCTGAAAAAACGCTGCTATACCTCTTCGTTATAAAATGCAATTGCTAATCTTAATTTTAGAATCAGTTTTCTACTTATACATTTCCAGATGTTTGTCACGTAGACTGAGTATTTTAGTATTTCTCTGACACTGTTTATTTTACTCTACCAACATCTCCAAACATATTTCAGTCACGTAAACTCGAAATGAGACACAACTTGATTTTTTTCCTTTTCAAATGCGGACTGTAGTTTGTAGTTATTGGAACTGAATTAACTGTCTACGACTGTTCAGATGTCGACAACAGTAATATGGAGAGGACAAGATTTTCTGTCCACCCACGAAAAGAATTCATTTTTAAAAGTGCTTACTTGCCTTCATCCGTTAATAAGCCAATCACATTTGACTGTAAGAGGCAATATATTGTCACCAAGGTAAAAACATATGTTTTTAAAATCATGTTCACTAAATAAGAAATAGCGATAATTATCAATGAGCATTTCTAACAGGTCAGTAGTTACAAGAAGAGGCTTTTTTCTGGGCATTGCGTCCAATATAATTTTAACTCGAATTGTGACGAAGTGTTTCTTGGCTCCTGAATTCGAAATTTATGCTTTGCCTTTTAACATCCAACGTCATTATACTTTGATTGCTTTCTGAAGACAGTTCACATGTTTTTCTTGATAAATATTATCAGAAGAAAACCAATTGCAAAAGAAAAAGGAAGTCAAAACGCACTACTCTCCCACGCAGACGTTCTTAGGGCTTCCTCACACCTGCTCTGGCCGGCTTTCACACTTGGCCAGGGGCACTGAGGATCGGAACACATAAGGAAGCCCTAAGAATGCCTGCGTGAAAGGCTAAGTCAGTTTTACTTTACTGGTTTTGTCATCTGAGTTTTCTTTATGTAAACAATGTATAAAAGATCATAAAATGTATTAATCCACACGAATGTTGACACGAAATTTGAGCACTTAACTCCAAGTAGGCTGGATTAAGAAATGTCCTTTTTTGCAACCTCAATTTACCCATCATGGTTGAAGAAATCAGCCGGCGAGTTGTTTGTTTTAGGTACCTGCTGGCGTAACAAGCTTGCCTACTAAGGGAGGGGTGGGGTGGTTTTGGTAAGGAATGGAAAACCTTGCAGCCCGTCTGCAGCCCTTGACACTTGAACAAAATATCTTTTCCTGATGTTTCAGTACTTAAGCTGTTAAATAAACAACTAGCTAGCAAAAGACAATCTTCTCACGATGACCATGACAATTTGTTTGCACTGTTTACTTTTCTCGAGTCACGACTCTTTTTTAATTCCGTGGCTGTATTACTACTCCGCATCGTCGCTTTGTACTAGGGTCTTCGATATACAATTGTATCACTGTTTAATAGTCTGAGTCGCGACTGGAGAGACAATTTTTCACGATGACCAAACCAACTTGACTTGTCTGCAGAATTTCTATCCCCGAGTGACTAGTACTATTTTCATTTCCAAGGGCAGTAGCGTCTTTGCATTTTAATGAGGTCTTTAAGTTTCAGTTCTGTGCTAATTGTTTAATATATATGATGTTGTTGAATTTTTTTTTTTCTGCGCTATTTTTTTTGAACGGCAATGGCATGCGTTTTTCAATTCAAAACTACAAGTAAAATTATCTTTAGTTCACAATCTTATTCTTGACGACGAAATTGAGGGAACTCGATCTAGCATAACCAGAGAAGAAATTCCGTAACCAAATTCTATCAAAATATCCCTTATCAAAACCCTCGGCTCTTGTAAACGTCCTTCTAAATTTCGGATTTAACTTTTTTTGCAATCCAGCTGGAATGTTGCGAACACTAAAACTTCTTTCGCACTCAGAAAGCGTGGATCGCTTGAGAAGTTAACTGTTTAATATGTAGATTTAGCCAAGGCCAAGGGCGAAACTCCCGTTAGTAAATTCATAATATACTTCAAAGAAAAAACTTGTAATCATTGCAAAGAAATCCACCTGGAGTTGAGCCTGCGATCAGTTGAAAAATAGTAAAATGTCAGCGGTGAACTTAAAAAATACGTAACCTTGATGGGTCGACACCTGAGCCCGCGAATACGGTGAGGGTTGTAAACTGAAAACAACATATTAGATGTGCAATATCAGCTTGCAAGCTCCGACACTGTGGTGCGGACGGACAGGCTCCTATCGGCTCCAATAAGGCGCGCTTCGCGCGCTTGGAGCTCCACTTACTAGACAGGCATTGAAGGCCCGACCTGCGAATGTCCACGATAAGTATTTAGAATTTTTACCCCCTAAAAGTGTGTTCTATTTTATTGACAAAAGCCTGCGTAGCAGACGCCAGTTAGTTTTCCCTAGCTAGTTTTCATAGAGTGCAAGAGGGGAACAAGGGGAAGGAGAGAGGAGGTACGCATGTCTACGGCGAAAGCCCTGGTTGTCCGCTTTCTAGGTTCTCTGACAGTTCATGGAAAAAGTGCCTCTTGGGAGTTGGTCTGTCACCTCAATACCTCCTCTCCTTTTCATCCTTCGTGGGTATGCGCACGCGACTTCGAAATTTCTCCTTTTGACCAAGAAAATCGGCGTCTGCTAAGCAAGCTATATTCTTCCAAAAATCTGAAGGTCTTTCGTAAAGTTGAAAACAGGTCTTGATCTGCACTTGTGACTGAATTACTGTTACTTTTTTATCTAAGAGAAATCTAATGTTAAACGACTTACGATAATTTTTACGATGCTTTTAACGTGCCAGCCAGAGACCGTCTCGCTGATTGCCTCTTTTTGATTGGATATCGTTAAACAATAAACGCTCACCAAGTCTTCTTTAAATCAGTTATTATTTAACCATTTGGTTAACAACATCCAATCAAAAATCGGCGTCTGCAGCTAAGCAAACTATATTCTTCCAAAAAACTGAAGGTCTTTCATAAAGTTGAAAACAGGTCTTGATCTGCACTTGTGACTGAATTAGTGTTACTTTTTTTATCTAAGAGAAATCTAATGTTAAACGACTTACGATAATTTTTACAATGCTTTTTGTTGTAATAGTTGGAATGAGATATCGGCTAATATCATAATCGAAATTGCCAGACAGACTCAGTTAATGAGATAGGAGCATGGTTATAAAGTTTAGATACAACGTTACAATATTAAGCACTAGGTTACTTAAGAAACAAGGTGAGTGTTAGCCCCAAAGGCATGATAAGGGGGAGCTCCGGGGCATGCTTCCCCGGAAAAAAAATTGAAAATTGGACTCTCAGAAACGCCATATCCTGCATTTCCTGGATCAAAAGCAATTAATTCAGACGTGTATTTTGTTGAGCTTTTCTCAGAGTATCGTTATTCATGGTTGCCGAGCCGAATTACAACACCTTAAGATACATGATTCCCAAGTTGTCGGTTAACATGATTCTGACATGTTTTGATTGATTCATGATTCATGATTCCGCTCCCACCCACGATCCTTCTATATAAATACATGTAAAAGAAAACTTACCTTCCATTTGAGCAAAAGTGGCCTTAGGTATCAAGGAAAACAATGGAATGAGGGGCAACGCGCAAAATTAAAAAGAGAACATCCCCGATTAGTGAAGAGACTCTTGGAGAACTCCGTGAAATAGAGGAACTTGACAAACACTGTGAAACGCTGAGTGTTTGCAATTGGTAAAGCGATAGGTGTTCTCAAAAACCATCAATTTAATTTATATGCAATATTAAATGTTCATTATTTATGAATTTCTTCTCAATTGTGTGTCTGTCGCTTCAGGCGGCAAGGCTAATGAAAGATCATCAATCGAACCTGAGTTGTTATGTCTGATCAACGCGTCTGTTGTATTCCATACCAATCGGCGTACGGTAAAAATTTTGTTGCGGGGGCTGAACATAATTTGCCCGAATGAAACTTGTCGGTCACAGGTGCACAAGATGATTCTTTCGTGACGTCAAGTTTTCTTCGCCATGCCGTGAGAGCACGGGCGTTCAAAGTAGTGCAAATATTTTCGGTAAATCGAGATGAACATTTCTAAAATACAAAACCATGAAGTGAGAGATAAAACGTACCTATTTGGGCTCTAAAAGAAGTGTGAAGAACGATTACTTCGACACCAGGATGGAGGTAACTTTATATAGAACAGGTAAAATGTCATGGAAACCATTTTGCGGGATGCGGGATGAAGACAAATAAATCAAGATATTAAATAATAAAATATTTTTTACCGTGTCTTTGCCCGAACAGTACATCAGTTTTGCCCGAATAATACTATTTTTTTTCCAACAGGGGGGGCTGCAGCCCCCCGCCCCGTACGCTGATGTGCATACCTAATAAACAATTTGTGGAAGCTGAGAGATGCTTATCGTTCACACAAACCACCCGCCGCGGGGTGGAAATCTTGTGCATAGATATAAAAACTATTGACAATTTTACCAAGAGCATAAAGTATCTTGTTTACACCCCAAAATGTGCCATAATAGTTGTCTTCGATTTCTCTTGGGGCGACTGTATTAAAAGGAGAAAAAAAACTGGAAACAATGGTAATGAAAAACATGGTGGGGGTGGGGGAGGGGGTAAACAAGGTGCATAATTATGGTCTCGCTGAGAATGGTGAATAAAGTTTGAGAACGAGCGGCAACAAATTATATCCAAATCGGCTGAACAGACTAAAAAGAGTACAAAGGCATTTCTTCGTCTTAAATCTTCTCTGAAGCTTCCTAAATGGAATGACACAAACCATTTGATTTTTCAACCGGAATGTCCCGTTTTCCCATATAAATAGTAAATTCCACCCTAAGGTGTAAACCTTTTTGACGCCTTAAACAGCAAGAAGAAATTAAGTAAAACATAAACGCGTGAGTCACGAAACGGATTAATATTGATATTAGATTCTGCGAAATTACACGTTACGTTCAAAATTTATTGTGGGAAAGATCAGATTCAGTGTTAACTAAATGTTTCATAAACATATTCAAGGCGGTTTTCCTAGATTTCTTTCTTTTTGCTTCGTTTCTTTTCTTTTTTTTTAATTGTCTAGTATGTTTAAGACCTTCTTGACACATTTAAATAGACAAAATGACAGCTGCAGTAAATTTTCATGCAACCTAACTAGAGAAATCTAGAACCGCAGATCTAAGTACGGCTTGACCATCTCTAATGCAACTTTTAAAAATTTTGAATGTATACCAGATATTTATTAGACTACCGAACAAGGCATTAAACATTTTTGTATTTAGGCTTATACTTCTTTGAGTATATTCAAATTTTAATATATATCACATCTATTTTCTGAATATGAGTCTGCGGTTGTCGGGCAATGTTGATTTGGTAAATATTTATCTTAATGTTTGCCCAGTTATGAGTGTTACAGTCAAACCAGGTCAAGCGTTCCCGTCACTGGCAAACTAATGAATTCATTAATGGAAAAATGATTTCGTTTGTTGATTCAATAGTCCATTCATAAAATGAATAATCCAACAGTCAAATTGGACCTCGATTCAATAATTAAAGGTTGATTTGGTTTATGAACAAAATCTACCTGTTCTTTATTCTTGTCTGTTGAGTTCAATCTTATTTGCTTCCCTTTTCCTGCCGTTCACGATTGTAATTGCCTTTAATCAAAATAACAGCTAGAAGAGACAGACCGCAAACGCAAAGAAACTGACAAAGGCCGGGGATCGAAATCCACCAATCACCGCACATACACTGACCTTAGTTTCACTATCGTGTTTCCTAAGAGGTCAGGTCCGTTGCAGTGATTACTGGAAACAAAGGGCGCTTTCCATTTAGTCAAAATTTCCGGAATTTCCGGTTCGGCGGTAAATGGAACACGTTTCGTCGGTTCGTCCCACTGGAAAATTCCCAGAAAAAGTGGAAAATCTAAAAAGGTGGTCCCGTTTTCCCGGTTGGAATTTCCGAACGGAATGTCGTGTTCCATTGACGTTTCTTGTAGTTTGTACCAGTTCCAGGTCCACGGTCGGGCACCCGGCCACGTACCGGGGTTTACGACCAAATGGAACAACTTTTTACCAATCGGAAATTCCACTTTTGCTACCACCGAAATTTCCGGGTTTTTTTCGTAAATGGAAAGCGCCCAAAAAGACGTACATGTAACAGTTTGTTTGGGTTTGAATTTCAGAACTCGCCCGAACCCGACTCTTAGAAAAAAAGGAGAAAAAAAAGTGTAGTTTTTCAAAAAACAGTAATCGAATCAACATTCGATTATGGAATCGAGGCTAAATATGAATATTGGATTGTTCATTTTATGAATGGATTATTGAATCAATAAACGAAATCATTTTTCCGTTAATGAATTTATTAGTTCGTTAGCGACGGGAACACTTCACCTGGTTTGACTGTAAGTTATAGCCATTGTTCTCAGACTCTAAAACAATGGCAGCGCTACACTTGTAAATTGCACGTATAAAAGTTCTATTAAATTGATCCCTGGGCTTATTTGTAGCTTTGTTAATACATTCATTGACGTTACAGTCAAACCAGGTCAAGCGTTCCCGTCGCTAACAAACTAATGAATTCATTAATGCAAAAATGATTTCGTTTGTTGATTCAATAATCCATTCATAAAATGAATAATCCAACAGTCAAATTGGACCTCGATTCAATAATGAAATATTGATTTGGTTTATGAACAAAATCTACCTGTTCTTTATTCTCGTCTGTTGTGTTCAATCGTATTTAGCTTCCCTTTTCCTGCGGTTAACGGTTGCGTTTTTCATTGCCTTTAATCAAAATAACAGCTAGAATAGACAGACCGCAAACGCAAAGAAACTGACAAAGGCCGAGGATCGAAATCCACCAATCACCGCTCATACAGTGACCTCAGTTTGACCGTCGTGTTTTCTAAGAGGTCAGGTCTGTTGCACTGATTACTGGCAGCAAAATGGCGTACGTGGAACAGTTTGTTTGGGTTTGAACTTAAGAACTCGCCCGCACTCGACTCTTAGGTCTCTTAGTAAAAAAGAAGAAAAACAAAATTCTGAGGTCGACTTGTGGAAACTGCAGTTTTTCAAAAAACAGTAATTGAATCAACATTCGATTATGGAATCGAGGCGAAATATGAATATTGGATTGTTCATTTTATGAATGGATTATTGAGTCAACAAACGAAATCATTTTTTCGTTAATGAATTCATTAGTTCGTTAGCGACGGGAACGCTTGACCTGGTTTGACTGTAAAAGATAAGAGATAAAAGACGACCACTATATAGAAAGTTATATGCAGTAACTTATAAGCTCAGATGGTGTTGTTTTTCAGCTCTATTAATTCATTTCTGTCGTTAAAAAGGAAGTGTCATTAAAAAGAGAACAGCTGAATAGAAGTCAGTTATATTCACAACTTTTAAGCTCAGTGTTATGACAATACCCAGCTGAATTTTAGCTCTTGACAATTTATTTGTTTATTACTCGGCGATTAAAGGAAAGAGTTAATAGAGAAACTTTCAATCAATCAATCAATCAATCAACTTTATTTAAACACGGTAAATGGTTCAGCAAGCTGGTTTTTAGACATGCCGTGTGACAATCACAAGCTGGTATGGGTATTAAAACTTAATACCAACATCTCCAAACCTATTTCACGTAAACTCGAAATGCGACACATTTTGATTTTTTTCCTTTCTAAATGCGGGGCGTAGTTTGTAGTTATTAGCGCTGAAAACAATTATCTACAACTGTACAGATGTCGACAATAGCAATATATAGAGGACAAAATTTCTGTCCACCCACGAAAACAATTAATTTCTAGAAGTGCTTGCTTGCCTTCATCCGTTAATAAGCCAATTTCGTGTGACTATAAGAGGGAATATACCATATATCACCAAGGAAAAAAACATATGTTTTTAAAATCGTGCTCACTGAATAAGAAATAGCGATATTTATCAATGAGCAGGTCAGTAGTTACAAGAAGAGGCTTTTTTCTGGACATTGCGTCTTACACGTATGTAATTTTAACTCGAGTTGTGACGAAGTGTTTTTTGGCTCGCGAATTCGAAATTTATGCTTTGCCTTTTTAAAACATCCAACGTCATTATACTTTGATTGATTTCTTAAGACAATTCACATGTTTTTCATGATAAATATTATCAGAAGAAAACCAATTGCAAAAGAAAAAGGAAGTCAAAACGCACTGTCCTTCCACGCAGACGTTCTTTGGGCTTCCTCACACCTGCTCTGGCCGGCTTCCACACTTGGCCGGGGGCACTGAGGATCCGGAACACGAAGCCCTAAGAATGTCTGCGTGAGAGATTAAGTCTTAGTTAAAACTTAATCAGTTTTACTATAATGGTTTGGTCATCTGAGGCAACTGATGAACTTTATGTAAAAAATTGCATAAAAGATCATAAAATGTATCGATCCACACGAATGCAGACCCTGAGCGAACCAGTATACTAGCTTAGCGTTGACGAGTAAGTGAAATAATGCTATGTGATCAAAGATCAAAGAATTCTCAAAAAAGCATTTACTTATATATCTTTTTCAGCCTTCTTAAAAGGCCCGATTAGAATGTATCGTTCAATAACTTGAATTTTACTCTGTTGAAATTCAGCGATTAGATAATTCTTATAGGCCGTTAAAATTAAGTAAGCGATCGTGCCAGAAAATGTGTCCCTGCTTCGATTCTGAATTCGTACGGTGTTGCTTACTCGTCAGGGGCACCCAACGTAAATTTTCGGAAAAATATCTGTTTGGAAGACGATTTGAGATCTAGAATTTTCGGAACATTTGTTGTAAAATTTCTTGCTTACCTGCCCCTCCTAGGATTTTCGAACATCTAAAAAATGGTATAATTGTCCATTTTTAACGGATTTTTACCCTAAAAAGGTCACCTAGAATTTTTGGTAGCCTTTTCCTGGCTGAAATTTTCGAAAATGTAAACGTAAGTTTTGATCCCTATAATTTTCGGATCACTAGACTTTCAGCTAGGAAATCCGAACAGATGAAAAATTTTTAGGGGATCAAAATATGCCTATATCTACCGTTTAAATACTAAAAAACGTTCAACAATGCTATGTTTAAGTGGTTTTGAGCTATACTCTCGTTGGGTGCCCCTGACTCGTTACCATATGGCTTACTTAGCACGTAATTTGACAGCTGTGCAAAACGCTACTGCTCAGGTAGCTTCTTGTTCTCCTAAGTTCTGTTATTTCAAGACCGTCAGAGTCGAATCTCTAGTGCGCTCTGACTTGATCACTCCCAACTGAATTTAAGACGCATTACCTGAAAATACTTTTCATGGCCAGGCTCTTGCTAAAATAACTAGCAACAGAGGAAAAAGACAATATGAAGATAAAAAGCTTACTATGTTACCCTAAAGATTAATAGTGCCCACAAATCAAAACAACATTTTCAAGCATGCTTGTTTGCGGTTATAATACCGTCAATACACCAATCACAAGCGAATATATTCGTATCATCATTCAAATGCATTTATTAAATAGCAAATGACATTTACAACGACTGAAAATATCCCATGGGAAAGTATACTAACGTAGTAACGCAAAGTTCAACCTTAGATAAAGCCGAGTTTTTTAGGGTAAAGTTATATGAACGACAGTAAGAAAAATCGAAATTTACAAAAAGCAATCGAAACATACCGTTCACGACTGTATTAAGCAAGACAATTAACAAGAGACGAAATCGGACCTCAGTTTGAGCGTGTACAAGGGTAAATCATCTGTGCCCAGTGTTTCTCGTTTCAGCCACTATAATTATTTTGTATAATAACATTCATCATGTTTATATACAAAATTAAACAAGAGTAGATTCTTGATAAGGTAACACTGACGCATTCAATAGCTCATTCACTTTAAACGTGCTTATGTTCGAAATGCCGTTTGGGTCTGGAGTCCGCCAATGTGATGATTGGGTCCTGTTATCCTGCTGTGTTTTGTAAGGCTGGGTCTAGAGCTCTTTGAAGTTGTTTGCATGATGTTTAATTCTCACGAATAGTGCATGATATACAAATACTTAATTGTTATGATGATAATGATGACAACAATTGTTGTTATTTATTTTTTTTTTTTTTCGCATCATAAGGGTGGAAAGCCGACGGGATTTATTGCGGGCGAGCAACAGCAGGCCCGCGGACGTATTTTTGAAGGGTGGTCACCGGCATTTTCTAAATTTGTATATGAAGGTTTTAGTAAAATCTGTCCACATTCTTGGAATGTTTTTGTACCCACTCAAAGGCTAGGACTCTAATTAAAACCACACTTTTAAAATGGCCGATTGTCCTTTTGAATAAAATGGTCAAATCAAATCTGTGTCTGGTCAACTGGTGTTGTTTAATTCAATTTCCACGTTCATGATCCGGTGACAATTTCCTCTGGAACAAAAAGAGCTAAATCTCTTATTCACGCTTGGATGATCTACTATTTACTTATTATAAAAGCCGTTCTCAACATCAGTCATATAAGGTAAACTCAAATGCTCGCCCGCACTTCTTAACCATTGGTTACTGCTAGTGGTACTTACATAAATGATCTTGAAACTACAGTCTTCAACTCTTACTTTCTCCACAAAGAGTAAGCGAAACAAACGAGGGCGCTAAAAAATCGGTTCCCTCTACTCTCACAGCCTAGCTCTATATTATATTCGGTAAATTTTCAGTGAACTTTTAGTTGGGAGGCAGAACAGCCATACAGATCCACTCGTATGGGTATATGGTTATGCCACGTCAACACGACAACCGCGCGTGCGGAAGAATATTTCGGTGTCATCTACGGCAAAAGGCCGAAACCACGAGTGGCGAAGCCTCGAGCAAAACCTCAAGTTATAGCGTAGTCACAATTATGACTTGACCGTAACCGGAAATCGCGCATGAAAGGTTTCTTGCAACCCATCCTCCGGTATGAATATTCTAATTACAAAGCAACTTCTTGAAAAGTGCTTTCTTGGTTTATACGGACCGGAGCGTACGATCCGTCAACTGCTCTTCATTAACGCAGGGGCACCCAACGAGAATATAGTGCAAAACCACTTAAACATAGCATTGTTGAATGTATTTTAGTATTTAAATGGTAGATATATTTTTATCCCCTAAAAATTTTAATCTGTTCGGATTTCCTAGCTGAAAGTCTATAGTGATCCGAAAATTATAGTGATCAAGACTTACCTTTTCGAAAATTTCAGCCAGAAAAAAGGCTCCCGAAAATTCTAGGTGACCTTTTGAGGATAAAAATCCCTTAAAGAAGGGTAATCATACCATTTTTTAGATGTTCGAAAATCCTAGAAGAGGCAGGCAGGCAAGAAATTTTACAAGAAATGTTCCGAAAATTCTAGATCTCAAATCGTCTTCCGAACAGTTATTTTACAAAAATTGACGTTGGGTGCCCCTGATTAACGGTCCGTAATGGTGCGGTAGTATTGGACATGACTAGAGGAAGCTCTTTTGCCACAGGATGATAGATTCCATAAAAGTTTTGCTTCATAATGTTAGGGTTACAGAATCGGAAAGAAAAAGAAACAGAAATGTCACATTTCCAAGTTTTTTTTTTTTTACTGTGCAACAATACAAGCCATGTTTAAATTATAACAACAGTTTAAACTATCCTTTAGATTCTTATGTGAGGTTAATGTTATGATGCTGTAAAACTTGTCGAATTTCTAATCATGCATTTTTCAAGGCTAGAATGTTCGCGTCGCTTTTGACCGCGATTACTCGTATTGACAAAATGTTTCACTTGTTTGAAATACCACGTAGCATGGCTTTTAACCCAACAATCCTAAATTAAAGCGCTTTGCAAAAAGATGCCGAGCATCTTGAGTAAAGTCTATTATAACAGTTTTGCGATGTTAGAGGAAGGAGATAAAAAAAATAAAAATAAGCGAAAGTCTTATTAGCATTATTATAACAATTAAATCGCACTAAAATAAAGAATAGATTCAATTTTGTCTTCCTTTATTCGCTCAAACAGACAAGTATAGAATCGTCAGTTTGATCACCATACATACTTTTTGTTTCCTTCCAACAATTGCAACCCGGGGTCATTTCAGACCAACTCTTGCCAATACAGTAGTTCAAGTCCAGCAACCACACTAAGCGGTCATTGATAGACTTGATCAGTTCGTGATTCGTGACGGACTCTAAAAGGTAACGTGATTCGTGAATGTACCGAAATTTAACCCGTGATTCGTGATCCAGACCCCCCTTCCATTCCAGACCCTATTATAATTCTTTCTGGGGCAAGGAAACTTAGCAGAGCTTAACTTGCTCAACCTGTTTTGTCATACCATTTGCTCAGTGCCCTAATGAAAAACACTACACTTATCCATTGTTATCTATTGTGATTTACGGTATTAATAACTGATGCACATGTTAAGCAAAGATATATATATAGTCCTCTTTGCTACGATTGCGTCTGCAGAACTAAAAAATTTATTTACTTTTATTTAAACGAGGCATCGGTGGCCAGTTATCATAAAGACAAGAGTCGACTGCCAAAATTGCTAAGTTAACATGATTTTCAAAGGACTTTAAGCTTTTTAGAGTGAACTTGGTACTACCGTCTCACTGTACTAGGATGTAACCTAGTCCCTTTGTATGCTTTCCGGTTTCAGCATTCTCATTCCCACATGTATTGCTGTCATCATGGAGCCCTCCAGTACCAAACCCAATTCTGGAGTCACATTGACTACAAACGTTTATTTCATTACCAATGATACCGATTCTTGCTTTAGCCAGGTCTTTACCTAAAGACTGCTCGTCACTCTTGGCATTAAATCCTTCCCTGTTACAACCAATCTGCAAGGAGGCCTCGGAGCCAATCAGCGACTTCCACGTGTCACGACCCAGTGAGGTGCTGCGGTGTAGCCCATCAGCGATCAGAGAGTACAAGGAGTTCGCCTGCTTGTTGATGACAATAAACTTGATCTGGTTGTTGATCTTTATACCAAGGCAGATCTTGGAAAAGGATGCGTTCCAGTAGGAGGGAAGTTTAGTCTCCTGTGAGTCAAACCCAGTCCTCCCTCCGTCAAGTTTAAAGGCTTCTTTGTTTCTCCAGAGACTGGAGTCGTAGTGAAACGTTTGCTGTGATAAAATTTATGACAAAAAAACAGTCTCTATCATAGGTCAAGATTGATTAGATTTAAGCATGATTTGTTAATTCGCCTATCCTCGTTCCCAGGCTCCACACCTACTCTTCCCCTGGTGGGAGTACGAGAGGACCCTGGGAACGAGGTTGTCTTCTGGATAGGAGAAATAGAGTGACACTGCTTTTAATCATATTATTATTATTATTCTGCTGTGGTTTGTCTAATAATCACATGATCAGATTTCTTCAGATCGAACGTTAAATCAAAAGGAGTCATCGTTTGAGGCTCTTGCTGTGTGAAATTTTGGGTTACTCACATACTAGAAAGAATGGGGCGAGAGATTTTCAAATACAGTCGAACCCCCGCATGCGACCACCTTCCCAAAACACCAAAAATGTCCTCAGTCAAAGCCTCATACTGGAACCTCTGGTAAACGACCTCCTCCCGCAAGCGACCCCGACCACTATTTCGGCTGACAGTTTTAGAATTTTCTATTGTTTTCAACCTCCGGTAAGCGACCACTTGACACATGGTCTTACCAAACAGTGAAGTACATCACGGTAAAATGGACAAAAAAGCATTTATTCTTTAGCTGTCATAATGTCTACACATCTATGACTGTGTTTAGTAGTTCGATTTATAACTACAATATTAACCATTACCCTTGAGAAAAAGACTCAGATTTCTAGGTTTCAGTTTAAGAAGTTAAGTTTTTGTTTGTCAGACGTTTCAGGGACATTTCTGTACAAGAAGTCACGTACACAAGTAAAATTTTCTAACCCCAAATTTATAACGCGCGTTATCTAATTAAGTGCACTTCCGCAAATGAACTGTCACATAGAATAGCTAAATGATCTTGTCAATAAAACCTATTAGCTAGTAATTGGCAGGGGAAAGTAAACTTTCATTATTTTTTTTATAATAAATACACCACTCCATTCTAGGTTGACTCTCGTTAGCGACCACCAAGCCTGTGCATTTTGGGTGGTCACTTACGGGAGGTTCGATTGTATGATAAGGTCGAGGCTGCTGTAAATTTCACTTTAATTTGCTGAACGTTCTGAAAGTAGGATCCAACCCTGTTGAAAGTTTATAATTTTATACAACAAATTGTGTCTAGAAAATGAAACTGGCGTTTTTGGGGACGCCATTTGGCAACAATGTTGTCCTTGGGCACGAGCTTTTCTTAACAGAAAAAAGCTCATTATAATTTGAGAAAAGAAGAAAGACACAGTGACTCCCATCATCTACTGAGTGTAAGCCGGACACAGGAGGTCAGTGCCCTTCAGGGAAGGTTCAACTGTACTCAGCGACGTGAATCTGCAAACAGGGGAGTGTACGTAACTACGTCGGTTTTACATGATAATCGACTCCCTAAACTTTGTTCATTTCCGCTCACTCGTCTAGTAAAGTGAATACTAGGAAATATTCGAGAGATAAAGTGTAAAGCATGCTTTTTCATTCATCCGTTTTCCCATTCGAAATGCGTAGTTTATTGCTTTTCTTTAATAGCCAAGATGCTCTGTCACATTTTTCGGGATAATTGTAGCCTGCGAATACAGCCGTTTCTCCTTGCTCTTCATCGCTAGGGACGTTTCGCCAGGTAGAGCGTCTGCGCCTCAGCGACAGAAATTCCATATTGATGACGTAAATCAATGTTTACATGATGTAGTCAGTGGGTACCAAGTGAATTTATGTTTCTCCTGGTCGGTTATGGTAAAGTTTTGTGTTCTATTGCGAATGAGCTCCAGCAAAACTCAGATGCTTTTCTAGAGAAGAATATATTCCAGGAATATTGACAGTTTTTTGTAGTGGCGGATACACCCACGTTTACAACCCCGTTTACATTTGGCCTTTGTGGCTTTTTGTCTTTGTCTGTCATTCGAAAACAATATGTAAAACAATGTAACTACTATGTCGACTAATCAGAGCTCCTGACCAGAATCGGGACAGTTTTTACGTCATCAGCATGGAATTTCTGTCGCTGAGGCGCAGACGTTCCTCCTGGCGAAACATCCTCAACGGCGAGGAACAAGGAGAAATGGCTGTATTCGCAGGTTAGGATAATGGAAAATTACCGCTGACATAAGCAAACCTGTATTTAATTATAATACATTTTTTTCACTCTCGTTGCCGAATACACATGTTTTACCTTGCTGCCGTCCATCTTCATGACCGGTGTCCATCCTCCATCTCCGCACCCAAAATTGCCAAAGTGACAGAGAACTGAAACTAGTTTGGAGTCAAGGAGAAGAGTGACGAACTGAGTCACGTTCAACCTGTACAAAATGAAATCTCATTTTAATTTTGCCACGGCTCTTAACAGTTGGAGAAACAAATGGAACGTGCCTTAACTGGTTGTTAAAAAAACGTTCGCTTTTTCATCGAATTCAATACAGATTGAGTCAAATCTAAATTTCTTGTCAGGTTCCTCATCACGTTACTGGGAGTTATTTTACAATAACTTTGTGGACCTTTTAGCGTTTTTCACGAAAGTTGAAAATGCAAAATGTCAGGCCACTCAAATTAGTTACCAGCATGTCTCAAAATATTCAGTTATGACGTCATGTTTGCTGACGTCATTCTTACGTAAATTTTATAATTTTTAAATCTCCCAAATGTTTTGGTTTTTAACTAATTTTTTTTTTGGCCGGGGGGGGGAGGCCGGCAACGATTGAAGAGAATCATACCGTGAAATTCCGAAAATAAGCCCCTCCATGTATAAGCCCCTCAAATATAAGGCCCCAAACTGGTAACGCAAAAAAACCCCCGTTAAATCGCCTCCCAAATATAAGTCCCCTGGGGGCTTGTACTTGGAAAATTGCTCTCAAATACAAAGTAAAACAAAGCAAAAACGGTAAATTTACTTCCAACTATGAGGCTAACCCAATCGGTTTTGAAACGCAAATTTCCCTCCGTAGATAAGACCCCCCGAATATAAGCCCCTCCAAGAATAAGCCCGTCAAAAAGGGCCTTTGAAAAATATAAGCCCCAGGGCTTATTTTCGGAATTTTACGGTATCTACTTAATTAAACCATGGCCGCCCTCGATTTAAAGCCGCAGATAGAAGCAAACATGATTACTAGTAAATGCTGTCCTCGAATAAAAACAATATTTACAAATGATTTATTGCAATTCTTGCCAGTAATTTTGGTATAAAAGCTGCCCTTATATCATCGTCCCATCGGAACGCCAGAAATATAAAAAAAAATCCTGCAGGTTGGCACTAGACTGCTTGCAGTCCGCCTTTTCTCTTAAAATCCGTATAGTTCTTATGTCATCCAGCGCGATTGCTAACCACGACTTTATTACTACAATAAGGGATTGAGACAAGTTATTCGGGTTTAATTGATTAATTAAATCACCTCGACAGCTTCTTTGTCCCCAGACAAAACAAAAGAGTCAGCAGTCTCTTATTTTTTCTTCTTGGGCTTATGTCCTCGTTTCTCGCTGCTCGCGTGCTTAGGTTTCGCGTGCAGTAACTTTGCAAAAAAAAATAAGAGATTGTTCGCAGTCTAGGTTGGCACTATGGATTTTTTTACGGGTAGTCCCCGTTTTGGAATAAGCAGCATTTTGGCATGAGGTAAAAGTCGTGTAGGCCTACCACCCCCTTCTATTGCTATGGATTTTTTTACGGGGAGGCCCCGTTTTACCTTATGAAAATCAACACACGCACTAAAAAGAACCAAACACACAGTAGAAAGTTCAACATTGCGCACCTAAGTTTTTAGAGGGAGTGTACGGAAACTCTGTGCGCATTTATTAACCTGAGTCTTCGAACTCTTCCATAAAATAAAGTGCTGAAATTTTCTCTAAATGCTTTCCAAAAAAACACACCTTTAGCTTGAAGCAGAAGAGAATCGAAATACACAATCCGTAAGTTGGTTACGTTCAGTAGCCAATAGGAAAACAAGAATTTCGATCCGCCACGTGGGTATTTATGTTCAAGTTCAAAACACAATAGGCAGAACGGCTGTACCGTTCTCGCTACGACAAAGTACAACTAAAGTTGCTCTTGTAAAAGCAACTCAACCCTGCAACTCAGATGTTGTTTATTCAAAATATCCCAACAAATTCCATAGTTTTTTTATGACGTTACACTTAAGGACTCTACATATATATGGGGCGAACGAAACGAAAATGGTGACATGATGTTGTTTTTCTCATCTGCCGGCAAAGTACAAGAAAGGCGAGATGCAGTTCACGCCTCTATTTTACCTGCGAACTATCTTTAAGACTTGGACTAGCTGTTTTTGACAACTACTCAGAAGGTGTAAGCCATCCTGTAATTTTGCATGCTTATTGATGCTCACATATTTTCTCCAACCCGTTTAAAACGGACACGGCGGTTAATACGACAAACGGACACTTTTCTATGACTCATTAAGTCAGAGAAGCTCATTTATCGTCAACCCAAGCGTTATGGACACTGGTGACCACTGGCCAACTCGCTTCACACTGTCTATTTCCTTGTCACAATCATGCACTAATTGCATACAATGAACCCTGTTCAAATAATTACAGATTTCTGTGGGTTAACACGATTTTATTACTAAAAACAGGGGTGTAGCGTGGACATTTTGACAAGCACGTACACGGGTCCATATGGTTTTAAAAACCTCGTACAAAATAACGTTTTTGATTTCCTTTAATCCATAACTACCAGCTTACAGGCTTATTTACAATAAAACGTGATTTCAAAAAAAAGCTTCTAAAACGTCCTTCTTTGAGCTGGTACAGGAATATTTAACAGCACAAAGCGAGGCGCATTTTTTGTAAAAAATTTTCACTGGAAACAAATACTACGTCTGTTCGCTAGGAGTAAATTTCTTGCAAAATTCTTGTTGATACCGCGCCAAACGTGCACCTGCTTACGTGGGTTATCGTCGGCATGGTTTGGTCCATGACGTTCCAGTTGAGGACATCAAAGTAGTCTTTGATAGACTTTTTCGACATTCATGGGGAGAGAGAGAAAACTAAAAAAATGAAAAAGCACTTGAATAGGAAAACCTTTCAGATAAATCTTAAAAGGAATGATTGGTCAGTCATGGTCGATTTTCAGTTTCCGATTTTCATGAATAAGCAATATATTGTGGGATCGCCTGAAGGCAAAATTTATTCAAGAATGTTTCGAATTTATTACATTCCACTACTCAAACTATTGTGTTTACGTGTATTAAAAGAGGATGCTGAATAACAGAGAGACAGACAGGAAAAAATCTGCACAATACATGTACAAAGTCAAGTCACGTCGACACTCAGAAAACCTTTAAAAAAAATCTTATCAATTTCTCAAGTACGCGCATGCGTATTTGCGTAAAGGACGCTACGCCCGTGAAAAACAAAAATAAATATGCAAAATAGCGTGACAAGTTTGATTTTGATTAGGCTGCAGTCTTTCTTCCCATGTTTGACCCTTGTATGTTAGCCGTTTTTAAAATGCCTTAACCCCTCGTTCAAGAGATGAATGGAATGGCCGATATAGGAAAAAAGTACCTTTTCTGTCAAAAATGATGTGTAAAAAGGTAACACGTTCCCCCAAATGAGTTGGACGTCGAGGCTGAGCCTCCCCGTATGGAAATTTATTGAGTATCCCCTGGGCGAGTTGACGATAATTGATATGAGGGTTTGTGACTCAGGACACAGAAAAGTGTTTGTTTTCCGTATTAACCAAGCTAACTTATGAGCAAATATGTGAACTTTTCGTCGGTACAAACGAACCGTTCGTTTTATACGGGTGTTCGTACTGAAGCAGAAGGGCGGGGTTCCACTGCATTTCATCAACAACTTTTTTACTGGAGGGCCTTCAGTGGATACTGGTGTTCATAGTTGATGGTTTATACTATCTGAATAATACGAACTCAGGCATTTGTTTTAAAAGATTCAACAGATTTTGCGTCGATTTAGGCTTCTAATAAAATTAAGACTCCAGGGTGGAGAACAAAGGCTGAAATAGAGTCCATCAGCCACGATACAAGTGATACAAGTGATATCGACATTCACTGCAACGCAAATTGTGTCTCTATTTTTGAGGATTAACGAATGATTTTTGGCTGTTCTGTGGCTCATAATTGCGGTTAACTGCACAGTACTGACAACTCCGAATGTTCCCCCGAACTTACTGACCATATAATCCTAATTAAATTACTATGCATTGGTTTACTCACTTTTCTGCGAGCTGATTATAAACGTCTTGGCATGACTTTGCAACTGAAAAAAAAGATTGAAGTAGTTAACGTATTTAACTCAACTTATTTCTCTCACTTTATCACGGACGGATAGGTAAGGGGAAGACAGGAAAAGAAAATCCAAATAAGATTAGCAAACTTACACCTGAACTACCCGTAACTGCCCGTGTCGGACCACGCTCCTCGCACCACTTGTGACGTCATCAATTTTAATGGTCATTGGCCAATTTAACCACCTGCATGCAGACGTCTTCTATTTCTGTTGTTGCACGCATGCAACAAACGGGATAGAAAACGTCTACACGAAGGTTATACCCAACTTTGACGCGAGACTTGTGTGCAGGAGGAATATTTTTGCGCCGAAATTAAGCCAAGTGAATGGCCAGCCAACAAAGAAAAAATGGTTGGGGGTAGGGGGACGAGAGAGAGAAAAAGAAGCGGAAAGGGGGGAAAGCGAAAGATGAAGTTCAATGTTTTTTTAAAAAATAAAAGTTTTAAAATTTTGTCTTAACTTTGCTTGTTTGTATCTGACGAATTCGTTTCCAGGGGCAAATGCGTTGAGCAAATCATTTTTAGAGAGATCCACTTCTGACAATTAATGACCGTCATGAAACAAGTTTTAATCTTCCCAATTTACCAAATCAGGTGAATAAGACGCCAAAGGGCGACTTCTGAGTTTTTTTGTACACTTGACAATAAATATACGGCTTCTCACGCCTGCGGCATCGACGTTTAAGGAGACAGTGTCAGTTTTAGTAAAAGCCCGCATCTAAGAATCTGCATTTTCCCAAGCTAGCCTAAACAGGTTCTTACATATGATAATTAGCACAAATTTAGGCTATATTTCGGTTCTCTTAAACAGGTTCTTATTTACTGAAGAAAAAATACATTGAAGCGAAAATTAAGCTATTTAGTGGTATTCAGCTAATTCCTTAGGTTAAACCTGTATACCATTACAATTGCAGGTGGAGTAATAAGGCAACTGGTATGTCTCCAAAAAGGATCCTGAATGTTGACTTATAGAATTTGCCCAAGTATACCAATTTTTGAAAAAGATTTTAGGAAATAAAAACCTGTTTCAAATTTTAGGCTGAACAGCTTCTTGTATAGAGGGGGCCTAACTATAACAAATTTCAGCCTAACAGGTTCTCAAAAACCAGGTTATTAGTCACGCGTTTTGTTTTTGTATTTAGACCAAACTAACTAAACTAAGATAAAAATATGGTTTATAAGGACTTAACCGACTTTGCATAAAGGCTCTGTCTTTGTCCCCATTCGGACCGGGCTTTTTTTTGCTTCCTGCGACTGGAGGGGACTTAGGAGGTCCCCTCGAGAACTTCAAAACAACTCAGTCTATGGCCACTAAAATTACACACAACAATTTCCTCATCATTTCCAACTTCTGTTCATAAGTTGATTGACACAATGACGTAGTCTGACGCCATTTCTGGTGCAATATAACAATTCAATCAGTAAAAATAGAAACAAAACCTATATTTTGGAGAAATGCAAATTTTGAAGAACCAGGCTGTCAAATCTCGGTTGCCATGGTAACATCAATGTTGACCTACCCGTCACAATGACTTAAAAATGTTTCCTGATAAATTTAAGGAAAAGCTGCAAAGTTTGGTGGTCCTAGCTTGAACGTCTTTCAAGTTATTCAACTTTTTTTCCAAGGCTGCCCCGGTCTGAATTGAGTTAAGCACGACAATTACCTTTTTCGCAAAATTCTCCGAAAAAACCTGCTTCGCAACGGCAGTCAAACGAGTGATACTTGTAGTTCGCTACACAGGTACCTCCGTTCTGGCAAGGTGATGACATACATGGAGTCTGAAATAATTATAAAAAATTTTGATGTCAACTGCCATTTTGTTAAGGTAATTTTGTTCCGCGTGAAAGTGTTGAAGTAAGAAAATATTAAGGAGAATTAAAAGTGGCATTCGAATGAGTAATTCCGACGTGTTATGGTGACAGTCACTTTTACGCCGGTTCGTGTTTAATTTAGTGACACGTTATTTAAAAATCGCATAGATTGGGATATAAAAAGATATCTTACTTTAAACTCTATACAAAGAAATAACCCCACCTTGATGGAAAAGTGATCAAAACTCTCGTTCCTTTTATATTCCTCAGGATTGCTGAACTTTTCTGAGGACAACAACTCACACCGTAACTTTCCATCTGCTCCTTTGTAAGCTGCCAGGTTGAAGGACAAACAGGAAGGATTACCGAGGCATTCAAAGGTGCAGTCAAGGCTGTCATACACTGTGAATGTTCCAACTGTAGGAACGTTTAAGTAATGGTACTCGTCCTTTATAAAAACATCTTGACGAAGACTGTGATGATACATGGTGGTAAACTCTGAAGAGAAAGAGAGAGGGGTTTAATATAAGTTTTTAGAATGCATGGGTCGTGCATATAAGAAATCTGTTAATTTAGGGAGTTCCAGGCTTTATGAATGGTTTTTAAAAGGAACCCGTTAAGTAAACTGGAAGTAAAAAAAGTCCGCTAAAGTAAAGCCTAGAGGTCAGGGGAAGAAAAATGTGGAATTATCCTCTTCATCGAATTAGGGATTTTTCTGGCAGTTCTACAGCTATTTAACATTTATGACTTTTAAAGCCATGCAGTTCTTTAAATCATACTTTTTGTGAGCTTTAAAACTGAATAAGACTTATTACGTTTGAAGCAGCCACTCGACGACGGCGGCAACGATCGAAGGTCTGAAAACATCTTTTTTAATGAAAACATAACTTACAGCTCCGCACGTACATCACAGTTTGGGGCACACTTCTTAATCTGAAGTCCAATGCACGGCTTCGACGTGAAGCCGTTCCTAATACAACATTTTGTGGAGGACGTGAATTCACACATGACTTCTAATTTTCCTTAATTAATAGTCTTTCCAAAAAAAACTCGGATACAGTCCTTAAGAATCCATCTCCAGGAAAATTCAAGCATATCGCGATAGAGTATAAAAGAACGCAAAACTAGAATAATTCGTAATATTCGCTTTTGTCCTAGTTGCTAAAGCTCGCTCTCCGTAAAACAACAGGAACTGTTATACATTTTTCTAACATGCCGGCCGCAATTTCTCAGCGATTTTTTAAGTAGCCAAGCGAAACCGAAAAAGAGCCAAGTTAATTAGTGACAAAATACTATCCGCAGGCGTTGTTTTACATGCAAATCGTTATAATGAGAAAACTGGTTCGTCTCCATCTTTCCACTAAACTATACTAAGCAAAAAAGGTTATTCTCATGACCAATTTTACTCGACTATCAATAAAATAAAGCGAAGAAAAACCAACCTTCCAGTTGAGCAAAGACTGCATTGGGTATGAAAGAAAACAACGGAAGGAGGCAGAAGGATAAGGAGAACAT